AATTTCTTCGTACAAACAAGTTGAACGAGATAAAAAATATAAAAAAAAAAAATAATAAAAATTGATCGTAGCGGACAAGAGCTAGCGCGCACACACATTCACCTTCACATCAGTTCGTCAAACAATTTACAACTGACTGCAACGATCAACAAACAAGAGGCAAACAGGCAGGCAGGCAGTAGCGAGCAACTAGAGCCTCAACCGAAACAGACGGCATGCACGGTGTTACGATAGTTTAATTATTCACTATAAAACACAGGAAGAAAAAAGCGATACACAAGCGGTGTGTGGTTAGAGCGAGCGCGAGCGCTAGCGAGAGAGATAAAGAGGGAGAAGGACGGAAAGATAGAGAGTCCAAATTTGAAAACTGAATTGAGAAGAAACGAAGAGAGAATAACATACAGAGGCAACACACATTTACAACGAATTATGCTGTGAGAATTTGTTCAGGTTAATGGTTTGAGCGCGCTGAGCAAAACAACAGGGAGCAACAGAGAAAGAGAGAATGGGTGAGTGAATGACTGAGAGAGTGGTAGAAAGAGCAACAGCAAAACAACCGAATAATAATAATAAAAAAAAATATGACTCGAGACCACAACACCGAACTTGTATCAAAAAATTAAATGAAAAGGATGACCACTTATGACTTAGTTCCATGAAATGGCATTTTCCATTTGAAAATCTGGTTGGCTCTTCTCGCTCAACTTGTTTAGAATGCGCGCCATTCAAAGTATGTAGAAATCTTAAGCAGTATTTATGGTAAACGCTAATGCACATTCATTGTCGACTTATATTTACTTAGATTTGATGCACGGAACATGTTTGTCTAAGACACGAAATGGACAATAGAATTGATGCATCGCACAAGCACACACACACACACACACACGAACACATCGCAGCATTCAATTTGTGTGTACCTATATAGGATGCCCAAGTGATCATCACGTTAAACCAAGCAACAAAACATATGTCAAACAATGACAAAGGTGTATGGTCCGTTGTATCTCTTTCTTCGGCGCACACACAAACACACGTAACCACATAGAGAGACGGAGGCGAGCGCGCACAGAGACACTCGCTCACAGCCGTTTCAATTTGTTGTAACGACCGATCGGCCGTGGTGTTGATGTTGAAAAAGAGAATGTTGCTGTCCGAAATTGCTGTGTTCAGCTTGCATCGTTGCAATAGCCATCGTTGTCTCACTTCTGCGAAGCACTTGCTGTAATTTCGTACCCGCTCTCCAAGAAACGGAAAAAAAATAATACCATTGCACTATGCAGTCCCTCCTCTTCAACAACACCGAAGAAGAAAAAAAAACAACAACAACAGCACACAACGTACACAACCATCTGACATTGTTATGCTCATTCCTTTTGATACACATTCGCTTTTCATATTGCTAGCGGAGATGTCTGAGTTGCAGCGTGCACCAGCACCAACTCGAACGAGGTCGGTGCTACTTGTATCAAGGTGCAGCTGTTTGGTTTTGATCATCGGTTCACTGGTCTCACGTGGTCAACACGTTCGTTCGAGACACAAACCGTTTGTTTTTTTCTTTATTCATCGATCGTGAGAATGTTCGTTACAGAACTATACAAAAAAAAACCGCATGGAATTCCATCAATTTTCAATTTTGAATGAGACTCGGCCAAGACAATGTGATGCAAGTGAAATTGAGACAAGTTTCGGGAGAATTGAATGGAATGAGAAAGCCATTGTGCAACAATGTCAAATTGAATCCTGCCATCGGACGATAATTTTGACTTGGCAATTTTCCGTAAACAAAAACTCCTCTGCCAAACCGATACATACTCAATTGTTCAAGGATTTATTCATTATTCGTGCCACTTGCTGCTCAACGATTTTATCTCGGTCTGTTTATTTTCGCTAGTAAAAAGTTTACGCTATGGCTTTGCTTTCCACCACATCATCCAGAAAATCGGTGCACAACCAAATTCACCGAGCGAACAAAAATTGTCCAAATTTCTTCCCTAGTTTTTTCGTGGATGAAAGCAACTATATATCCGAAAAGTGGTGCTCATTGGTTTTTTTCATTTTCCGCTCTAATTCGACTGGTCGTAGCCATTTGTCCTATTATGTGAACGATGAAGCCAATCTATACGCAAGCGGAAGAAATTTACCGGGGCGGAAAGCAAAATCACTTCAACTGAATTTGATTCGCCTGTATTTTTTTCACTTGATATGTTTCTCATCTTGGTGCTTTGGACGATAGACGGCGCGTTTTTCGGTGACATCTTACCACAACAACAAACAAATAGCTCACGCGTGAAACGCGCAAACCAAAGCTTCTGAAAATCGTTAGGGGTTGGAATTGTTGTGTCGGTAAATGCACTTCTACCTCATTTTCGTTCATTTCACCGATGAAATTGCCATTTTTCAACATGTCCTCCGCACAATATCGCCAGCATTTCTTGTTTTCTTTCAACGTGTTACATTGCCCTTTGTAAAGTGCCACATTTTTTGTGTTTATTACAAGCAATAAAAAATTGCAATAAATATCTTACCTCCGTGCATGTATCGAACAAACTCCTTGATGGAATCGAACATTTTTTACTTTTCATTCCTTTTGAGTGCACGAATGAAAGGAATTCCCATTGGATGGTGCGTAGTAGTATAAGAGCAAAACGCAACTTATGTCAATCTTGATAGTAAAGCAGCTCAAAGAAACTGCACACAGGAAGGGAAAAAAGGGATTCCGTTTTCCTCTAGATAACTCAGCAAATATTGAAATGTGTGTGTGTGTGGATGAGATGCTTTTCACTTTTTTTCTTCATTCGTAGCCTTTAAAAATTGCATCAGTTGTATACAAGAGAATGACATTTTTTGCTGTGTATTTGTTAGGAAATTTTTCAAATTCAGAACATTTTGTTGGAATGGTTGGCTTTTTTCAGTTTCTCTCTCCGTTGAACCAGAGATTTCACTTTTGTCGATACTGTGTGTGTGTTTGACTCTTCTGACTTGATTTCGTTTGCGTGGATGACGCACAGTCGATGGGGGAAAACACGTTTCCTTTCACATAATCGACACATATTTCACATTTTTCTTATTCTTGTTCATTGATATAAATGTATTATTTTTTTCTCTCAAAATTCCTTTTCCTTGACACTTTGTCGCTGTTCAGAGTATCGAAATTTTCTTTTAAAATGAACCATGTCCATGTTTATCCAGTACATTTGTATGGGTGAGTTTTTTTTTGTTTCAAAAAGAACGTCCTCTTTCGAGAGACCTCATTTCTGGTATGAAACCTTATAAGCAAATGTTAAATCATCTGTGAACGACATAAAAATAGAGGATGACTCAAGGAAAAAGAAACAGACGAAATCCACATTGCTTGGCATAATATTGTCGGGGCATAGATGGAGTTCCGCTCGCGCGCGTGAATTGCCATTTCCAATTAAAGTTTTTGATTTCAATTTGCATTACGAGCAACATCCATTCCCACATCAATACAATTTCATGCCAACCAGTTTTGGATTTGTGACGCACACGCTGTGTATGTGCATACGTTTTTACCCTCTTTGCAGCTCGGCCTCACGCAAAAATCAGAACGTTTCGCGTCGAAAGTCTTTCGGCAAAATAAATTTACATAGAAAATTATCGGCATTGGTATTCCGTATATTTGTATTACGATTGTGACGAGTATGGCGTGCAGTTTTCGCTCTTTATTGATGTTGTTGCTGTTGTTGTGCTATTCTACGTTTTCCATAAAATTAAATTTAATACTTTGTACAAACACACTAAGATGACTCTTACCCATACAAACACATACGTATTGCTTCGCAACGTTATAAGATGCAGACATAGAGTTTTCCCAACAAATCAGCAACAGTGATGGTTTAAATCACTTTAACTTGCCATCGTAAATTGATTTTAAAGAGAAATAAATGCGAAAAAAGGAAGCAATACAATGTGGAAAATATTAAATAAATAAAATGATTGAATTTCCATCATCATTGTTGATGTTCTTTTTCCTCTTCTCAGCTGTTGAAACTGTAGACAGATTGTGCTAAATGTGTAATCTATGTACATTTTCTGCATGAAATGCTAAATTTCGCTCCGAATACCGGACACAAATTAAATCATCGCCAGACACGATGGGTTAATTGATGTCGAGATGTACGGCAAATTTTACCCTAAAAGCCAACATTGCACAGAATCACATTCATAAATTCACATTCGCCTTCACTTTTTTTACAAGTGCTTCATAAGAATGTACGAGAATACGATGGTTCCATTTGTGATGATGGAGAAGATGATATTTTCAAGGCTTCATTCATGCGAATAAGGACAAAACCCTTGAATCGATCGAACTCTGCTGACTCATTTTATTTATGTGCAATTTTTGTTGCTCATTTTAGATAAAAATACGTCCTCAATTCAATTAAACAGTTTTTTTCCTTCTCCTATTGCTATTATTAGATGACTTATGCGACAATAGTAACAACATATAAATTTAAATATTCAGGTTGCGAACGTTAGTGCGTGAGCTGTGTTTGAAACTCACTCACAGAACAAAGCAACTGAGGGGAAAATCAACATCTGCTCATTTTGCGTTGTAAAAGGTAAAATTATGTTCATCATCGAAAATAAAAATATTCCAATGACGTATGTTGCGAATGTCACGTCAGCAGCATAAGAAAGCCAAACGTATGATTCTGTAATTAATTCGAGCACATAAATACTGCAATTTCAGAAATAATCACTGAATGTGGAAAGGACTTAATATTCAATTAACTTGAGCGTCTATTTGGGTTGTCTTCCTGTTTTGCCGGCGTGACATCGGTTTTAAAATGTGCGCTCGTGCTTTTGTGGAAATATTGGCTCGTGTGTTGTGCCTGTGCAATGGAATACCGATGCCGACGAGCAAATGATTTCATCCACGTGCGCACAAATACACAAACACAAACCATATTTTACCACAAAATCGCGATACACTTGTATGTTGATATATTGTTTTGTAAACGGCCTACACTTACCAGCAACATATCGCTGTTGTTTCGCTCGACGACCAGCCGATGGACTTAATAAACTTTCACGTCTGCTAATGCTCCCTGTATTACCATAATTGATTTGTAAATATTGTGGCGTTGGCTGTGATGTTTGCGGTGGCGGTGACAATGTTAGCGATGGTCTAGGTGTAGATGTTTCGCTCCATACAGCCTCAACCATTGAATCGATGCTTGATGAGCGCGGTATCCGTGCATTTGCATTATCTCGTCTGAATTTCCAAATACGCATTTAAAACACACGAGCGAGAGAGAGAGAGAAATAAAAAACGAGAGAAAAACACATCAACATCAAAATATTGAAACAATTATGCTAATGTTAAGTCGAACGCGAATCTTTTGTACGAAGTTACCACTTTTGAAAACTCATTGCATCATCTGCAAAATCGCATAGAGCACGCAAAGTTATATCATTTTCAAACGGAAGCCTTGCATTGAAACGAACTCATTCGACGTGAATGTGCCAAGTATAAGACCAGGAAGGAATCCATGAAATGACTTTGAGCATTATCGAATTAATTACTAACTTATGATAATCCGGCACTTACACGAACATCCCGAACCGGGGCTGGAATTCTGAGACATTCCACCAAAATCGTGCGGAATTATTTTTTTTGTACGTAAGACTATATTGGAGTGAAAGAGAGAGATTCCACTAATTTTTTGGTTACCACCGGACAAGGTGCGGAAATAGTACGAAATTTCAAAAATGCCGCGTATTTTAGTTAGAAAAAAAACTTCACTTTACATTGATTTGCTATATACCTCAGTGGCGCTAGTATCGTGAATGGGAGAAATTGACAGTTCTTCTTCCGAAACCTGCCACCGGAATTATTCCGATAACTATCACTTTTCCTTGAGTTATCTTAATAATTCCGGTGGTATCCAGAAAATTAGTGGAATCTCTCTCTTTCACTCCAATATAGTCTTACGTACAAAAAAAAAATAATTCCGCACCATTTTGGTGGAATGTCTTAGAATTCCAGCCGGATGAAGAAAACTTTTTTCTGCGTCATTGCATTTTTTGCTCACGTAAGAAATTCAATAGACAGATTGACTGCCTTTGTCTTGATGGATGGCGATACACGAACGCAATTACTTTTGATTTTCAAATACGGTGACAATAGAGATCAGAAAATTAACCGAGCACATAACAATGTGGTCTTGAGTGCAGACTCTGGAAAATACCCTATCATGATCACTTTGTAATACAATACAGTATCACGTACTGTAGAAAGAATTGGCTTTTCGCTAATAGGTTCTCTGATAATACGATTGAGGCATAGAAATTAGTCAGAAGTTTAATATGTTTTGCCATTGAGTTGGTGTTGAAATTCCGTCGTCGACCAAATTAATGAGCTTTTGTTAGATTCAATCAAGGTTATTCACGGTTGCCGTGTGCTTGATATCACCATAATGAGTGTTTTAATTCAATTTCCATTCGTTCAACAAAAGACCGGAAAAAAAGTGACACTAATTCAATTTTGAATAATTAAACGAGAGTCAATTTACCGTTCCCAAGAGAGTCGCCGCGGTGCATCATCTTTTAAAACGATATGTTGTTCATTCGATTTCATAGTTTGATTTAAGAGTTTGGCAAGTCGATACAGTGGTGTCTTTTCCTGGCTATTAGCCGAATTTGGGCCGATGATGGTGATGTTCGACGATCCCGATGGACTGCTGGCCATATGATATGCACGTGCTGCAACCACATGCGGTGCTGGGATTCTGCAAATGAAACATAAGCATATTTGAATAAATCTTCTTTACGCGGAGGAGAATGACCGATGTGGACTATTCGATTGCCGGTAAGAAATTCGATGACGTCACGAATGAAGAGATGCAAGTGTAAATGTGATCCGATGTAGCACAGATTTTTTAATGTACACGTCAATAAATGGCACGATTCATGTGGATGACTTTGTGGTTGGTTTGGTTTTCAACTGCTGGGAGACAACGATGTCTAGACAACATTTCCATAATGCTACAGAAACTTAATATCTTTGGCTACAACTTGTTCGTATGTTGCTGCTACCGCTGCTGTTACTGCTGTTGCTGAGGCTCGTTTTTCTTCTTGGTATTTCTCGCATTCGTTCGTCTTCATCTGACTCCTTTGACCGTATTTTCCTTTTCTGATTGCAAAGCACGAACAACAATATAATAATGCTGGGAACAATCATTGGCTTCACTATATTAGGTTTGTTTTAGTGAGAGAATTGGATGCATTCGGTGGTGGTGGTGGTGGTGGTATCATCGTTTGTTCCGACTCGTGAAACGATTTCAATTTGGTGTGGATGTGTGTGTGCTTAGCATGAGCTCCATGACGATTTTGAAATGGCAACGAAACACGTTGCTCCCTATTCTATTCGGTGGCTTGTGTATCTAGGCGCTTGAAAAAAAGGAAAGACTCCCTGTCTCACACACGCACACACACGCATACCGTAAATATGGATCGATTAACACAGTGATTGGGAAAACGAGTGATGCGTTGCCATTTGATAAATATGGTTTCGAATGGCGAACGGGAACGGCGTCTGTTTCACTGGGGTAATGGATTTGAACTTTGTGACAAATAAAACAAAACGAAATGGCTTTATTTCATCGCTCCGATGAAACATACGCAATGCTTTATCATTTTGATTTGAACAATCGTCCCAGCGGTCCCACATCACAATTTTATATGTCAATAAACAATCAAAATTTGTATTTGCTACCGAAGCAGAAACGAGATAAGGAGGGTGGGAGTGTGGGAGAGATAAAAGGAGAGTGGGATAGAAATGCGGCCATCCTATTTTGAATTCGATTTAATCGGAATATACTAAATACGCTCCATCAATCTCTCTGTTCAACTTCCGAATTGAATTCACAATTAAATCGATGTCAACATTAAATGCTCCGATGATTTGTTATGTAGCATTTTGTTGGAAAATAGTGTATTGTGGGCCAATTTGCAGCTGTATTTTGCCATTTCTTGGTCTTCGATCCAGCGTCTACAAAAATATAAGTCAAATTAGATTAATGGCAGAGACTAATTTACTAGCTCTGACAGCTTCGCCGAGATAATAGCCACATGGATGACAAGTTGAAACAAAGTGTAGTGCTTTGCGGAATATTGCCGCAGACGAAACACCCTGAATAACAAATAGCGGAAGCTTTTGCACGAGAGATAACCAAAAGATAGATTTGTGTTTTTTGTTTGGTTCATTAAGTGCGAACTCAGCACAAAAAAGGATGCTTTGCCAAACGAATAACAATTACAACGTAAAACAACAACAACAACAACAGCAGCAGCAGCGGCGATTGAATTTGATTTATTTGCATTCGAATGCTAATATTTTATTCATGAAACTTCTACGCGAATTGTTCCCGTTTTGCAGAATGCTGACGATTTTCGAAGAAATTTTTACGATCGATGAATCCGGTGTTCCACCGTTAGCGACTTGAAATGTAAATGATTTTGAAATTAAAATTTTCACTCGAATCACTGAGCTAGAGATAAAGCAACGATTTCCAGATTGCTCGATTGTAAATGAAAGTGTGCCAACGTCACTTGGAACGGAGCGTAAATAGCGATAATGCAATATCATGAGAGGGTAAACAACCGTGCGGTTGTGCGACAAGTGTCATTGAGTCGTGAACAGCGAGCGCTATAGAAGTAAAGTAATAAGTAACTTATTACTTATTACTTTCATTTTATTACTGTAATAAGATGGACTTATTACTTATTACGCATCTTATTAGTCGTAATAAGATGAGTAATAAGTAATAAGTCTATATTATTACTGTAATAAGATAGACTAATTACTTATTACTCATCTTATTACAAGTAATAAGATGCGTAATAAGTAATGAGTCCATCTTATTACAGTAATAAAATTGTAATTGTAATAAGATTGTAATAAGTATCTTATTACTTTTGGTGCAAAAAAAAAATGGCAAAAATAGTTTCATGTAAAAAACATGTCAATTTTTTCGACTGACAAAACGAGTAATAAGATGCGTAATGAGTAATAGGTCATCTTATTACAGTAATAAGTAGGTAATAAAGTAATAAAGTAATAAGAATTACATTTTTTTACTTCTATAGCGAGCGCTGTGATCGTTTTTGCATTTCGTAACTTCGATGTATGTAGATAGTTGTCGTCGTCGTTGTTGTCGTAGCATCGTGTCGACCAAACCAGATACACACTAAATGTATAAACACGAATGTGTAATTAATGATGCTGCGTATCCTCTCACTTGAAATCCATTGAGAATATACACGGAATCGTGCACGCCATTTTCCATGTCGTGGTTTCTTCTAAGTGTATAAAATCTAGCTCACTTACCTAAGAATAACGGTTCCATCTGGATGTCGTTCGCATTCATCAAACGCATAGATATATGGATCAGCATTATTGCTCACGCTACCAAAACCACCGGCCGTACTATAGACCGTTGCATTTGGGCTGCCAGCCGATTTACGTCGATATTCTGTCGGTGTGTCATCACTTATCAACGATGCACGCGAAAGTTTCGGCTGTAATGACAATCGGGCACTGAAACTCGAACAACCCAAGTTATCACCTGGAGAACGAACAAGAAGAGCAAAAATAAAAGAAATATACTAAAGTTTTGCGTACCAAAATATACGATGGATCTAGATAAACATTCAACCTTAAATATTTATTAGTTTGAATCATGAACTCAACCAGAAATACACACACTGCAGTACATGTGAACAACGAAACAATTGAATGGCTCGGAACTTCGTAAGTTAGCAACAATTGATAGCTAGACATGAAAAGCTCGCAATCATGCACATCCACATCGCAGTGTGATGCACGAGAATTTTGCCGTTCGTTTTGTGTATGCGCTGGCAAAAGCTTTTACATCCACCACCAATTTGTAGTTTAATGGAAATCCCATCGGTTGTTTTTCTCTTTGTTCTTCTGGTGTTTTTTTTCTCGTTCGCATGCATTTGTGCGTGTTTGTTATTACGACGCACGTAACGACAATTTGTGTAAATGCTAAAGCAAACGAGCAACCCAGTGCGTGCACACAGACTCTCGACACGTGGTAATCAACATACACACAGACAGCAAGCAAACCAAATGAATTAATTCTAAAGCACTGCAATAATGAGAAGAAAAAACCCTCAAATTTTGTGTGTGTGTGTGTTTGAGTTGTTGCTGTTGTTTTAAACCAGCAACAGTCAAAATCAAAGCGTGCACATGAACAGCAAATTGGATGAACAATGTAAATAAGTCGCACGAAATGATTTTTTAGCAATTTTTGCAATGAACACCCACACACAAACACACATGCGAAAAGTTAAAATTTTCAACTGAAAATATCGACGCTAATTCGGCACCATGTCATTTTGAACCATAATGGGTTCGTATCATTTGCAAAACTGTCAAACCATGCTCTTAAATCCTTTCAACAATGCTCACTTTTGATTTGTTTGTAAATGGACGTTAGTTGTTATCGTGGTAACAAGATAATTTCTTCTCTCGCTCTATAATTCTTTAACAAAACATAAAAAAGATTATTGATATGAAATACACACAAAAAACGACACATCAAACTCTGCGTCATTTTAGCATTCGTTGGATGTTTGAACATCCGCATTTATATCTCAATCTTACACTCGTGCAAACGCCTGAAACGCTTGCAAGATGACGACGAACACGATATAATTTACGAGATATTGTTTCTAAGTTCTGTTGTGCGGCGTTCTCTCAAACTCCATTTTTCGCATTGCTTTAGTGGACATGTGTGCGGTAAGTATACACAAGTATAAGTATACATTCGGCTGAAAATTGAGCACAGCTTGTAAACTAGGGTATTTTTCATAACCTGGACAAGAAAAATGATAGTTACCAATGGGTAACACTGTTACCAAAAAAAAAAGTGTCATCCAGTTTCGAAAAATATACCTTAAAAAAATAGGTTTGGTCCAAAAAAATCATATGGGTACCATATAAAAACCCATAGCAAGCCCCATATCAAATTTTTCATGACAGCGATTTCGGAAGCCATTTTAGATCGCAACATTTCGACCGATTCCATTATTCCAGCCAACTTTTGGCAAAAACTGATGATGAGGTTTTGTTTGGCGCGTCAATATCTACAACTTTTGCCAAGACATCAGCCCTTGAAAAGGCCTTCTGGGCCGGTTACAGTGTAAAATGAACGAAAAAATGGCAAATTTTCTGCATTTTTTGCATTTTTCGCTCTACTGGCCACCCAGGTGGTAGACTTTTGTTCAGTTTTGGAATTGTGTCGTGTAGCCAGCAGCCGTATGAACAATTTGGCACTTCTCAGATTGCAATTCGGATGGAATTTAGTGCCGATTGATTCAGACATAGAAGACAAATTTCAGGCCAAAATGAGCAAATCACAAACATGAGCTTTGGTTTGACAGGTGAAAGCAAATTATTTCTACCCTTTCTGCCTTTGAACTTCTAGTATGATCCCTAACGAAAATTTTGGGTACTTACATGACCAAATCGAGTGATGTTTTCACATATTTCTGGCCTCATATTCGATTTCAACTCCCAAAAAATCGACTTTTGACCAAAAAATCCTTAAGTATAGGCTTTTTAGGGATGGTGTCTAGGCACAAAGTTATTTTTTCTCGAAAACTCGATTTGGTCATGTAAGTACCCAAAATTTTCGTTAGGGATCATACTAGAAGTTCAAAGGCAGAAAGGGTAGAAATAATTTGCTTTTACCTGTCAAACCGAAGCTCATGTTTGTGATTTGCTCATTTTGGCCTGAAATTTGTCTTCTATGTCTGAATCAATCGGCCCTAAATTCCATCCGAATTGCAATCTGAGAAGTGCCAAATTGTTCATACGGCTGCTGGCTACACGACACAATTCCAAAACTGAACAAAAGTCTACCACCTGGGTGGCCAGTAGAGCGAAAAATGCAAAAAATGCAGAAAATTTGCCATTTTTTCGTTCATTTTACACTGTAACCGGCCCAGAAGGCCTTTTCAAGGGCTGATGTCTTGGTGAAAGTTGTAGATATTGACGAGCCAAACAAAACCTCATCATCAGTTTTTGCCAAAAGTTGGCTGGAATAATGGAATCGGTCGAAATGTTGCGATCTAAAATGGCTTCCGAAATCGCTGTCATGAAAAATTTGATATGGGGCTTGCTATGGGTTTTTATATGGTACCCATATGATTTTTTTGGACCAAACCCTTTTTTTTAGGTATATTTTTCGGAACTGGATGACACTTTTTTTCTTCGACCAACTTTTTTTTTTGGAGCAGTCTAGGTAACAGCATTCTGTCAATCGTATAGAAATATGACAACAATTTGTCTGCATCCAACATAATTAGTTTTGCGATTATAGTGGCACTGCAATGCTCAAGTATGTTACTGTATTCGAAGAAGATCCACACAAACCGGAATGAAAAATTTTCGTTATGATTTTTTTCTATTGAATTTTTTTGAATGTATTTTACATTACAAAAACGACTACTGCGGCGCTGCGAACGTTTTGACAGGTATAACAGTCAATTGTTAGCAGGCATTGATAGTTACAGAGGGAAACTGTAGAATTCCACTGAAAAAAATAAACAAAACTATCGAATCGAAGTCAATGGCATAATATACTTTCACATTAATGCGATTCATTCATTATATACCGAACGAAATGCAATCTTTTTCAGTAACCAACCGAAATTCGTCTTATTTGATCATATCACTTATTTTAATTGGCATGTGAAGCACTGAAGCACTGGCACCCAGATAGAGAGAGTATGTGTGAGAAAGACTTGTCTGAGAATGGCCGAAAAATGTAACCACGAAAAAAATCGATGTTGACTGTTATCAATTCGCTTATAGTAACCTGATTGAGGGGTTTTCAGATTAACGATGTGTGTGTGTGTGTGACACACACACTGTGTGTTTTCTCTCGATATAGACAAAAGAAAACTTTGCAAAAGCAGCAGCATTAGCAGTACGGAGTACGGAGGCGAAGAAGAAGAGAAAAGTTTTTAGCGGTATACACAACGCACCAAAATCTATTTGGCTTTACTTCACGGAAAATTTCCGTATTATTGTTTGGCACATGTTTATAAAGTTTGTGCTTCTTCTATTATCAATATCACGCCGAACACACCAACGCACGCACACAAACACATTCGCGCGCTCGCTTACTCACCGATTCGCACAACAAACGGCCCCGTTTTTCATCTGTGCAACCAAGAAATTTCAATGCAAAGTTTCAATTGCACGATTTAAAACTCAATTTGTTAAACGGTTGCTATTTCTCTGTCGGTTTCTTATTCAAACAAATTGTCGATTTACATCTGAATGATTGAAACGCCAACGTGGTGTGTTTTCATTTGTGTTCGCGTTCCCAATCACCATTCGCATTAAAATCGAATGACGCAAATAATATACATACGTATAGATACTTTTTTTTTACTTTTTACTTGATTTTGTTCTCGCATATGCCGTGTCCCATTGCAGACAATTTCACACAATTACAAAAACATTATTTTCGCACTCGTCGTTTTGGCTTCTTCTCGTCTTCCCACACTCTTTCGTTCATCGCCTTGGGCAGCGGTAGCAGCATCAACAGCAGCAGCTCAATGGCGTATATGCTATCCAGTGGTGCTTTTATCAATTTTAATTTAAATTAAAGGAGATCCAATTACCAACTATCGTTGACTTTTCGAGAGTGTAAAAAGAATAAATTTTAAAAGCACACACACACACATATGCACGCCAAATGGTGACTTGAGAATGGTAACTTTCAAATTAGGGGGTGGATGGAGTATCAAAAAAGTTTACATGTTCGATGCGTGTTCAGTCTTCCGTGCCGAAAACCGCACACAGTCATTGAACATTGATACGAGTAAATCATATTGAAAAGTTATCTGATTCCCGTTACGATGCAATTACGACATATCCATATGTATATATGTGCAAGGCGCGCGCGTGTGTGTGTGTGTGTATGTGTGCGACGGAACGTACACACGAGAGGCGAGATCAATTTGATGGCACTTTTAACAAAGCAGACACAAAATCCGAAACCAACACGATTCCATTTTCATAATTATTTTATATCAATTCCGTGGACTACGATTTCACCATTTAACAGTATGTATGTGTGGTGTGTGCGTTGGAAATGGTTTGCTCAATGTGTGTGTATGTTACAGCTAAAAATCGGTCACATCGTTTAAATCACGCCACAAAAGCTTGAGCTGTCTCTTGCTTTTGCTTTCGCTTGCTCTTTCTCACTCATTCACTCACTCGTTCTCAACCGAAGAGACTCGGTGATAAATTTCGATATAAATCTCTGGTGCATTGATATTGATACGTGTCTCTATTTGCATATGGAACGAGTTGCTTGGCATTTGCGAAAGGAATAGAAAAACTCTTGAGCCATCGGGGAATAGAAATGTTTCGATTTCATTTGCTTGTGTCGTGTATAGTTGATTATTTTGCTGGCAAATGTTGGACATGAAGCCATTATCCTTCATACGTTGAAATGTGTCAAAGTGCACGCACGCACACACACACACCAACCGCACAATCAAATGGCACGACTTTCTCGGTACTTTAATAAACGTTATTGAACTTCTTCTTCGTCATGTGCATGTTCTGTTCATTTTTTGACATGTACATTCTTTTTTGGGGTCTCTCGGTTTCCGTCCACTTCATTTGTTGTCCAATCGAAATGACATCAAGCACATTTTTAATTGCTCTGCATATTCTCTACATTCCGAATCACAATTATCACTTAAATGTCATTGAATTTTATTTCAGAGCTGAAGTCAAGTTTGTGGCAGCATTATTCACAAAATTTCGAACTGTTAAAGCTCGATCAACAACAGAAAAAGAATCGCGTAGCAAAGGTGTGGTCATTTCGATGAGCTAAAAGTTTATGTGCAACATTTATGCTTGCTTATGAATCGACCGGAGTATTAATTGAGTTTTCTTTTCTATTTTCAACAATAAATTCAAATACCAACACCTAGTCATTATTGCCAATGGCCCCATAATAAATGATCTCTGACAATCATAATGAAATTGTTGCAATAATTTTATGACTTCAGGTTTGTCTGAATGGTGTTATTTATCGTTCGAAAGAGGAAACACAGTTGTGCATTTCTCATTCTTTCACGCCTCATGCGCTTGCCATAACGGTGAGCTTTTATGTGTTTTTTCCCACCGATAGAGCAGTGTATATAAAATATTCTCGATATTGGTCTGCTAATTGCATTGACACACGAAGATATTGCCAGTGCAGAGTGTGCAGGAGAGGAAGAATGTGGAACAGAGTGAATAAGCGATAGCGAGAAAGACCCAACGCTCATTCCAGTAGAATTTCTCATAGAATGCCAAAAGGATTTTAACGTTATATTAATTGCTTGTATATTTATTAGATGGAATGGTTCATTCTTGTGCTGCTATTTGCCACAATTTAGTGCATCAAGTCTTGACTTATTATGACGAATATTTACATTAAATGCAGTGAGCTATATGGATGCGATGTGGGTGTTGTCAATTGATGGCGGTGAGTGTGAGGACGGTAATATTGGAATGCGAAAGAATATGAGAACGGAAGAGTAAGAGAAAGTAAGAGAGTTCTATCTTTCTTATTAGAGAAAGAAAGCATCAAGGAGCAAAACAAATTATCACGATAAATGAACGTGCGTCGCTGTATGCGTTTTTTCTTCTCTGTTTCTTGATACCTTTCACTTAACATCATACTTTACATAATTCAATGAACATATAATGCCCACGCCTAACTTTCTCCACTTCAACCAATCTCTCTCTCTCTGTCTCTCTCTCTCTGTCTCCATCTCTATTACCTTCTTACTCACTCAATCTCTAATATGCCATGCCCCATTTGCATCTCATCACACTCATTCCAACGTCGAACACACATAGTGATGCACACATATCGAATCAAAAAACTGAAACGGAGATTTTGGCGAAAATATCCAATTGATAAAGGCGATGCAAATGTGCTCATCGAATCATAAGCAAAAATGAAATTATGATAGCAAAAAAGAGTCTAAATTATTGACAAAAACACTGACAAAACTGACCAACTGGTTAATTAAAATGTCTGTAGCGGACACATGGCATGTATGCCAACTTCCAGGGACATTTTCACATCGAATAACTCTCATGATAAACCATAATATTGCGGCTATTTTTCCGACAATCAATTTTGCACTTTATCAACAGTTTTCAATTCGGTTTTTTTTAAAAATAAAATACAGGGGGAAATAGACGCTTTTTCTGAAGATATCGTTCGGACAACTGAACTTGGATGAACCATTTTATGAAACCAATTAATTTATGAATGCAATAGCATTGCCCTGAAATTCATGAGAGAAAAAAAAACAAGGAATATTTACCAATTAGTAGCCCTTTTTTGGCGACCTTGCACACAACCGAAGCTGGTGTTATGATTGCGGGCAAAGTTTTTGACCGCAGCAAAGGTGGAACGAGTCTCCGTGAACTCCTCGTGCTCGTTTGAGCAGCAAGTGCAGCAGCTGCAGCTCTGAAACAAATGAAAAAAGATATGAATCATCAGTTTTTTTTTTGTTGCATTTTATCAAAAATTTATGAAATGAAATGAGCGACATATGCAACAAATGCATTTCCCAGAAATATTCGGGAATCACCAATTTGATCATTATGAACTGTTTGACATATCGAAATTGAATGAAAAAAAAAAATTCAAGCACCACTGTAGAACAGAGTCACAAGATGAACACAAAACCCATATTCGAAATATAATGGTAGATTTATATTGGATTTATTGCGTTCATTTGCTGGTTCACATTCATATCGAATTCAATTTTCCATTTTGGTTTCCGTTCTTCAAAATGAACTTTCATTGACATTTTAATTAAATTGATCAACAGCAGCAACAAAACTGCAAAAGCATACACAAAACATACGACATTGGCACATTCATTGCCAATTTTCTAGTGGATTATTGTCAAATTGTGTCTTGATTCGATTTCAAGAAGTGGGATTTTCGAGGACACACTTGAATCATTTAACATGCAATTGAGTGCACGGACAATCACACCCAAAAACAGACACACACACACACACACACACACACACACAATGGGAAGCAAAATACAAACCGGACTAATGGTTTTGTGTTGAGTTTGATATACAGTTTGTAATGTAATACACATTTCTCTTGGATTTAATAAATTGCACAGTGTATCAAATTCCCGTTTTAAGGAGAGCTCGAAACCAGCGCAAAAGGCAATTCCGTTTCTGAAGAGAAAAAAAGTAAAACGAAAATTTAATCGTTGCCATTTTTCTTTGCTTCCACAGTAAAATTCATTCATGTTGAAAATGTGTTGTGCTGTATGTGGAAATAAAATAAGTCGCATCCGACTAAGAATGCTCATGTATTAATTCTGAACAACAAATCAACATAAAATAACCGAGTAAGCAGTGATGAAGCATAAAATACAAATGGATTCATTTGTTGTGAATTTATTTCAACATTGCGAATGGAGGTCTTTCGTTGGCATTTCAAGTGTATCTTGAGCTTGTGCCATTCCGTTTGTCACTTTTGCTTTTTAGCTTAGAAGAAAAATGTAGGCGAGAACATGACGTCATTCGTGCGCGACAAGAGATCATATGTGCCAATAATTGTTTTGAGCGCCGGCATTTGTAAGGATCAGCACACAAATATTCGTATTATATGGCTTTAAATCTGGTTTATTTTTTCTTCATATTCCTTGTTTGACGATGGTTTTTGATTGCTTTTATTGCAAACTTAGTTCGAATTTTCACAGCTGCTTCCTGATTTAATTCTTAACTTTTTTTTCGTTCTCTCTCTCCCTCTCTCTCTCTCTCGCACTCCACCTCTCCGTTTCGAATGAAAACTTGCAGCGAATGAAAAAAGCAGCTCGATTTTTATTCGACTGATCTGTGTAATAAATCAATGTCGTGCTATAATTTACTTCACATTTTTTCGGCTTGGAAATTTGTCATATTTAGTTTGACTTGTGCTCAAAATTTCCCGCCTATAGTGGCAAGAAAAGCGCGAAAAAAAAAGATATAAAATGAACAAGAACGAAAGCGGCTTTCCATAGCGATGTTCGGTGGGTTGGACTCTTTTAAAAAATTCAATTCACATTCACAAAGTCGGAAATCAAGGCATTCGCCTTTTTCTGATTTTGTTTTTTCCACTGGTTCTCGTTTCCCCATCAAAATTCACTACACAGATCGTTTTTCTCCCTCTCTCCATCCCTCTTTCTCATTCTCAATTGTTCTATCTATCATTCTCCCTCTTCTTCTCTCTGTGGATTTTTATGATTTGAATTTCGTTTAGAATTTTCTTTTCTAATATCTAAAAGAGTGTTGGCAAACGAGTGAAATGCGGATGATATATATGCCCCTCTCATGTTGATATGCATGCATGTATTATGCAGATATATATGATACATATGAGCACAACAAGTTTGACAACAAGCTGCCGCAACATCTACGGCAAATGGATCTGGTGATGGATTTGGTTGGAAAACAGTTTTCCCATTCAATTGGCTTGTGGCGCATCCTTGACGATGTTCATCATGCAATTTATACGTAAACAATTAAATTAATTCTGTGCTGTGTGCGCTCATCATCAAAATAAACTTTTAATTGTGAATATAAAATGTTGAATGAAATATTGAACATTCAGCCAATTCAGCTAAAATTTCGTTGGTTTTCCAACTTTTCAACTGACTTGACGAAGGGGAAACATGCATTAACTAGTTTTGTTGCTGCTGTTGTGACAAAACAAGAACATTCGACTGTCATTCGCAAAAGTGCTTTCGTAAAACATTCATTTTGGTATTTAGAAACTAGCGCACAAAGCAGACCATTCATTTGCCACTGGTTCATTTAGAAAATGTTCAACTTTTCAAATAAAAAAATACCAACAAAAAAAAATAGTCCCCTGCTTGTCTCTGTCATGAATAAGTGATAGCAATTCAGAATGCCGTTCCCATTGGGGAGCCGAGAATGAGTGTAATGAAATTAAAAACGAAATGGAATGATTTTTCTTGTTACGATAAATGAGCCGAATGATAAATCAAAAAATCCATATAGTGTGTGCGTGTCTTTCTTTTCCTCTATTCGCCCGGTGGAAAGGGAACGATTGGCGTGAGTGTGTAGTAACGCAATAAACTGGATTGCACGGTATAAATTTGTACGAATCCAAAACGAGCAAAAACCCGTGGGCAATGACATGGGGAGACACATTTGTCATTACATTTTTCGTCGTATTATTCAGTTTGGGGCGATGAACAACATATGCCAGACAAGAGAATGCACGTCGTGACTACTTATAACAAATGGCAGTAAATATGAAAATATGCGTGCGTGCGTGTGTATGCGTGCTATGTTCTATGTTTGGATGTGATAATATGCGTGGCATCATCGAATTAGGTGCAATTCTGGTGAAATCCTCAAAATGTACAAGCTTCAAATAACTATAGCGCATGCCAGCGAAGGGGATTTTTATGGGAATCATGATCGCAAATTTGAAGATTGATTCAATGTATATTTTTCCGGTATTATGAGCAACATAACCAGGAGATGAGAGAGAGAGTGAAAGAGAGAGACAGAAGAAAAACAATGACTTTGAACTCGTAACAATGACAATTAAACTACACACTGGTTCGGTAGGTGTACGTTTATTATCTTTGCCGAGCAAAAGGATACATTTGCTACTGTCGACTTCTGCATGAAGAAGAGAAACAATATGAATGTGCATGTGACAACGACTGCCGCCGTCCAGCAAAGCACAGCTTACCGTTGTTATTGCACAAGTGTATAAGATGGAAAGAAGCTTTTGGCTCAATTCTGCTGGAACACATGTTCATCATTGAATAAACGATTCCCTCTTATCAGATAGAAATAAAATAATTTAATTACCGTAATTCCGATAAATGTACATAATTTATTCAAGTGAAACAATCAGAATCTACCGAAATACGAACACAATAGCAAAAACAACAATGGCAGCAGCATCCAACTGATACGGCTACTTTATGGGCAAATAAACGAACAGACGAACATCAATATCAAACACAGCAATTCGATGTTCAATACCATTCCCGCACACATAAAAATACTCAGGAAACGCGCACACACACACACACACACACACATACACACACCAAATGGAAATAGCAACACGCAAAATTGCCTTAAGATTAAGAGAATTGCTGAATCGATCGGTGAACATGAGATTTCAATATTTATTCAGTGGTTTTGACCAATGGCTCCATTGAATTTTAGTTACATCCAGCATGTGGATTTCATGTCAACCGTTCGTATCGGTACTGGGATCCAAAAAGTCAGTCGACGCCGTCGCTCGACACCTGCACCAATCAGATTGATAGAATATGCCGACGTCGAGGATTGTCGACGTGTCAGAGAAAATGAGGAAACCAATATGGAAAATTTCGATAATTAAACGTAAGAAAAAGGCAATTTTCTAAAATTTGTGGCCATACTGAATAGACATCACGTTGTGCCGTACACAAAGAAAAAAAATTTGTTTACTTTGTTGTACATTCCGTATTTTCGTAATTTCATTTTGCCACATTTCATCATTTATCATCATTACATGCGATCGAGTAAATAGAAAATTGCTTTTCGACCCTATGAACATGGTGTATCTGCGTTAGCGGTAGGAGGGGAAAGTAAAAGAGGGGCAATGTACAAGAGCAAAGGAATCAAACAGATTCTCCATCTTGTACAACGAATCGGATTGATTGCAATACTGTGAATACGCACATTATTTGGTATCATTTATGAATCAGCTGCTTATTATCGAATATAATTTTGATTATAAGGTCCCTCATCATAAAACAACCATTTACCCGAAAATAGATGGCGAGTGTTGATAAAATACACATAGTCACCGCTAATGCAGACGATAACGACAGCAACAACAATAACGACGACATATCGAACGATAGCGCGCTGTCGTCTCGACCCAACGGAAATCAAATGGAAATAGAAAACATTTTGTCGCGCGCACATCATCATCATCACACCATTCGCCTGATATTGATGGAACGATACATCGAGCAATAACAACAAAAAAACACAAAGCAAAGCAAAAACAAAATCAAACAATGGAAATAAAAACCAAAATGAAATCTAAAGCACGAATCTTTCATGAAGATACATATACCGCCACTTCAAGAGACGATGGATTTGAGCGATGGGCGGATTTCTTTTTTTAGCATTCAACGCTCGCTTATTCTAGAGTGGATTTTCATTGAAATTTTGTCGCATAGTTGCATGTGAGAGTGAAAACACTGATCGGAATAAATGATTCGCCGTTGACTCGTTTGCTTGGTGTATATATCAGGGTAATGAACACAAATCACAATAGCAAAAATTATCTAATAAATTTGATCATTATTTTCTATTCTCTATTTCAATGTTTCAGTTGATTCGGTGTGTGGATATGCGTGTGTGTGTGTGTGTGTGTGTGTGTGTGTGTGTGTGTGTGTGTCGACGAAT